GCTGAGAATATACTTTTCTGTCCTGAGAAAGCCCTTACTCTTCAGAAGAAATGTTCCAAAAAATCTCCAGCTTACTGCTTTTGTTTTACTATTGCATACCAGTTTACCACGTGGTAAACTAAAATGTTTTCACTTTAAATAAAAAAACCTGCAATATGGGTAGCTCCCACTCCAGTTAAAACAAATTAAAAATCCCATTCTGGGAACAAGTGGAAAGCAGGGGCGGATGCTCTGCATTATTCTCAGTCCTGAGAACTGTATTGACTATCAAGTTTTACTTACCTGATTTAGCATTTGCTGGGATAAATGTAATCAGCCTGAAAACATTCAACTTTTTTTTTTTTTTTTTTTTTTTTTTTTTAGGAACAAGGATATTTCTTGCAAAAATGCCAGTGCTGCAGGCTATACTAGAACAATTTAATGTAGGCTAATATTAATCAAGTCAATATATGCCTTGAGAGGAGAAAGAAATGTACTCATTTAGCACAAACTACTGAACAGGAATAAAGCGCGAAAGATCTTAGACTGCTAAATAATTTCACTTCTGGCATTGAAGGCATAAATAGTGTGTAGTTTTTACTAATACCCTGTCAAGAAACTTTAATAATTGATAATTTAATAGCAGCTCCATATTTCTCTTGTGTGTGTCCATATATAGAGAGATACCTTCCATCCATTATAGAAAATGTTTTGTACATGGTAGCAATCAAGCTCAGATTGTGGCTGAGGTTTATCCTATTCTCAGTGCATTATGGCTGCTTCTGAACAGTATTCTAAGTGGTTGACAAAAGCTGTGCTTGCAGCTCATTTACACTCTGTACCGAACATGATGCACGTCTCCAGAGCTGCAAGAGTCATCCCTTGCACATAAGTCATGTGCAAGGTACTGTGTTGCTGCTGTTTGTAGTAGTGTTTCTCCTCGGGGCTTGTCCCCTCTCTATAAGGAAGCCTAGTGACAGTAGGACAATCATACTGTTGCTAACGGTATTTTGAAAGGTATGTAATAGACATACGTAAAGTAATTTAGCTGCATAGCTATGCAGCTAAAACCTTATGCTATCCAGTAACTGCAGTAAGGCAAATGAAAATAAATTGTGTTTCTAGCTAAATCTGGCAAAAAAAATTCTTAACTGTAAGTCTCTAGTGTTCTTTTTGTCTACAATTTTAAGATTTTTATGCAATAGAGCATAATCCACAAACCTGTTGTTGATGCTTTTATTCTATTGTAGTACAGTTTCTTAGGTAAAACTCAACTACTGGGGTTTAAGAGGTATAAAGCTGCCAGAAAACAGTTCTCTGGAGGGATGAAAGTGGAGGAGGGGGTAAAGAAAACTCCATTTTTGGTTTGGTACTGTGCTGCATTAAAAGAAACATTTTTCTGAAATATTTTACCAAAAAAGAAAAACCAGCCCTGTATGCTACAGGTACAGTGCAGCGAGTCTCCCACTGTTTGGTTTTGAGAGGAAATTCTGGTCTAAGCTAAACAGTTTTGCAGTGTAGTTTTTCAACTAAACAGGCTATTTATACAAGGCATGCTATTTTAATCACAGTTTTCAGTTGATTTCTGGTATGAGAAGTGAGCTCTTCATATTCCCTTGTTATTCCTAGTAAATTTACTTCGTTTTTGATGTGTCTTGTAGTTAGCAGGTAGATAAGAATCCACATACTGCTGGAGATAGCATAATACTGTCTTTCAGGAATATGGCCAGCATATCTATGTAGACGATGTCCTCCAAATATATTTTATATAATATTGGAAATGAGTATGCGTTTTGGTCCCTAGTAGTGTAAAATAGTTTCAGGCTGTGTTTTTCTAAGAGGGCAGAGTAATTTAAATCCACAAGTGCTATTTTTAGCACCTGTGTGAAAGTACATGGACGAGACTAAGTTTAGTGCTTTCATAGTAGTATAATACAAATGGTCTTCCAGGTTCTTGGCTCCGTTCCTTGCTTTCACCAGGAGGTGGAGAAGAAAAGGAACAATTCAAGGTGACCCATGTAATTACTAAAACCCTGTTAAAATTTCCTCCCGTTGCCTTTAGGGAGGTATGTAGTGATGGAGTGTCATGTGAAGGAGGTGATCGGTATGAGCCTTAGCACCTGAATACTTGCATTTTGTTTCCTAGGGAAATAAAGCTTGTACAGGTCTGCTGTCTTGTCAGTCTTCCAGAGCCCAACACCTGCCTAGTCCTTCCCTCAATTTTTTAAGCTCTTGGCCAATTTGAGAAAATGATACTGAAGACAAGAAATTGCTGTAAGGTTTATGAAACCAGCTGGCCAGAGGAAAAAATAGTGTATGATATCTCTAATGAGGGAAGAGCCTGTGCTCATCCCCTTCTTAGATGTCTGAGAAGTCACAGGGGCCTTCAGCTGAAAAAGCAGCTGGCAGGAGGCTTTCTTGTTCCTGCTACTTGTGCAGGTACTGTTTCCAGCAGCTGACTCCGATTTTATGGAGTGCTTGAGTTCCTGAGGCTTATTAATGTTAAAACAGAGTTAGCATAGCAATAACACTTGGAAGTTAAAAAGCTGCACTGAATGGAAACTAAATAGCTTTTCCATCTCTTTACCTTTTTATCTGAGTACGTTGCTAGTCTATGCAGTTGATTGAGTGGAATAAAAAAGTGTCTTTTAAATAATTAACATTGATTTTAATGGTTTTACCTTCCTACTTGGCAACCAACAACAAGGGCATCTTAAAATTGCTAGGATGAAAATTCATGTGAAACATATGTCAAAAACTAATGTTTTGTTAGCTTTTGATCAGCAGTCTAATTCTTTTGTAACATCCCATGTTGATATAAAATACAACTTTAGCATAAACTTAAATGCATTTAATTATGATTCACATATACTTAATGACGTTCAATGAAATTGTACATCTTGGATTGGCTGCGGATGTTCAACTTGAAGTTCAACAAAGCCGTTCAGACTGAAGAGTCCGGAAGTCAGTGATGTTGCTTTAAAAGCTGTTTCAAGCTGGTTCAAGGACTTCAGGCTGTTTTTTGTAACTTGTCTTTGTTCTTTCATTTCAGGAGCAAGAGCTTAGTGCTCGAACACAAGCACTTCAAGCTGCCTCAGCCTCGTGCTCTTTCCGACCCAATGGATTTGATGACAACGACCCCCCGGGAAGTTGTGGACCGACAGGTGGAGGAGGAGGGGGTGGGTTCAGTACTGTTGGTAGATTAGTCTTTTGACTATGAAGACAACCTGGAATACACTGGTTCCAAAGCAGCCTGGTACTGCTGAGGACAACTAAAATATTGAACTTTGTCAGATGTTGTACCAAGTTTTGAGACTTGATCCTTGTTCAAAAGCAAATGTTGGGGTTTTTTTGGCTATGTTTTATTTGAAATAAATAAGTGCATAATGGAAAAAAACTACCTCTTAAAAATCCAGTTGCTTTTATAGTAAGATATGCTTGCCCAAAAGGCAGAAAATGGAGATTTTTAAGTAGTTGCTAATGACACTGCATTAAACTGAACACGCTTACATCAGTTTCTATTGTCCTCATCCACTGAATGAAGATAGTTCATTTTTTACTCCGATGGTATTGCTTTATGTGGAAATCCTTTCAGATGGGCTAAACTGCATGCATAGTCTCTCACCCCCACCTTATTTTAAAATCCGGTACCTTTATGGATTTCTACAGATGATGCAATTCATAATGAAGGCAATAACTTAAATGTGACATGATACAGTACTTTCCAGATTAAAAATTATTCAATATATTTCCAGTGTAAATGTGAAGAAGAGAAAAAAAATTTATAAATATTTGCTAAGGTGTTTTCCAAAAAAGTGCATGTTCTGTAGGGACAATGTTTTTAAATAGAATTTGTTAACTTTGTAGCATTTCTAATTGTTTTGAGGATTTTAAAATTATTTCAGGGAATATATCTGCTGTGTACTGGAAAGGAAGACATTCTGTATGTGCCTTGAAGTACTGTAACTTAAACTTTCTGAGGCTGCAGAAAAGGGGAAAAATGTGTTAGTAGTCAATTTTTTTGTCAGTATTAGAAAACAATACATTTATAGAAAGCTATGAGGTTTCCAGAAGTAGAAATCTGGTAGTTTGAAAGGCAGTAGGTGTGTTGCCCATTATTTTTTATTTAAAAAAAATACATACCTGGTTATCTATAACTTTTGTGGCCTGCATTGCTGAGAAAAAGCTGGTCATAAATACTGAGCTATGTTTGTGAAATCACAGAAGAGGCTACATGTATTGATCCTTGCTGAGGATCTATGCTTCTAAGAGTCCTTTGAAGTTTTGCCTTCTGATTTTGCTTGTAGTGAGAAATTTCTGGTGAGTTCAGGTTTTAACTGTCTGCAGAAGACCAATATGATGCTGTCTGTGGAGCAGTGTTTGCTTGCTTGTGAGGCCAGCAGAGGTTGAGGATCCGCTCTTTTTAGCCTTGCCAGAAATAGCAACTTTGGTTTTGATGTGCAATGAGGATAACAGAAGTAAAGGGAGTTACACTGTTGAATCTGGTGATTAATTCTTAACTTGAATAATCTTACAGTGAAGTGTAAAGTTATTTAAAGTATTTTTACAAAATTCTGCGCTGTTTTACTGTGTTTTTATATTCTACTAGGTGACAAAGTGCATCCTTAAAAAGCATGCAGACCTGGCAGGTGATAGCTTAATTGTACAAAATAAAGAAATTTCTTAGAAAATGCCTTTAAAAAGCATAAAATAAGTTGAGAAAATTAAACCTTGTTCATATGATATCAAATATACGGAGTTTAGTCTGAAAGGTAAACTAGCTTGCAAGCTATTTTTATATTATCACTAAAACTATGCCGTTTGCTCTGCTATAGGTTTGTATGTTACTGCTCAAGAAAGCTGGAGCAGCTCACTTTCCTTTTTTTAATAGTTTCCAAGCTTTGTTTTGACCGTTTGTAGTACCTTGGCTTTGACCTACGCTTTCATTGCAATCTCAGTTGTAGGTCTCTGAACCAGGGGTTCAGCTGTGGAAATGTGGAATGTCATGAGAACTAGGGTGAGGAACGTTCTGATTTCGTTGTGCTTGGACAAGGTTTTCTTGAAAGCTCACTTTGCCTTGAAATTCTGTAACTTTCAGTCTAAGAGGGTTTTTTATTTCCTTTTAGGCTTCTCTGCCAGTTAGCTCTGGTTTTAAAATGTTTTGTATGGCAGGTTAATTTGGCTTTTCTCTCCCAAATTATGAGGACATGCTAAAAAGCTGTCTACTGTTTGCATTATCGTGGGAGTATTTTGTCTCTCTGTATCAATTTACTGTTCATTTTAAAACACTAGTAAGTAGAAGGAGGGGCAAGTGTTTTTACTCTATATGAAATCATAATTTAGTAAAGGTCAGTTTTGGTTTTATGTTCTCACAGTAAAAATACAAATTATGTAGCTTACCTAAAAATAACATGCAGTATGAGTTTTGTATACCTATTGTGCTATATTTATTTCATGAGCTCTTAGAAGGCTTTCTACACCCTTCATGGCCTGTTCTAAATTCGGTGTTAAATATGGAAATTTTGTATGAGAGTAATGCCAATAGGGTTGGATCTCCTTTGGTATAAAATGGTGGTATGTCTCAAACTGAAAATAACTTTTTTCTTTCCCCTTGTTGACTTCTGTTTGCACAATTACTTTGGGGTTTACAAATAGATTTTTAAAATTCAGAATACCTATTCACAAGTCTTCTTGCTGACCTGACAACCATCGTAGGCCAATTCATAACTAACTTGGAAGGTTTCAATAAAACTAGTGAAAGTGGGGAAGTATTTAATGTTCTAAAATGTACACCTTTTTTCATTGTTTACAGTAATGGTGTTGCATGCTCCTATCTTCTGGACATAATAGGAGAGAACAATGTACATATGGTACTTCGATTTCTGTTACCTGTGAATGAGTGCTGGATGGTTTGTTCATTTTTGGCTCCATTCTTTGTTTTCTAAGTTGAATCAGTAGAAAGATACAAAATACATAATACTATTTCTGAAGCTTAGGTCTTCTTGTTTCCTTTCATGAAGGATATGCTATTATACCAAACTCTAAGGATGGTATGTCTTTTAAAATCATGTTTCCTTTTATCAAGACAGATTGTGTTTTGGTTTTTGTTTTAATGGTCAGTGGAGTTGTATTAACTTTCTTCCATACAGTTATTTTGTACAATTTTTTCATGTGGAGCATTACAGTGGATTGCTGTGAATGTCACCCCTGTAACAAGTGATTACAATATCTACAAGCCCATTTATCCCGGATGAGGAGAGAAAAGGCTTCTTTGGATAACTAAACCAATCACACCTTCTGGCTAGCTTCTTCCTTTCCCTGCCCCTACCCCTTGTTCCCTACTCTGGAAAGTTAAATATTTTGTCTTCTGTGTGCTCTGGAAGTTTAATTTCATGGGTAAGCCTTTCTTTTACCTGTAGCAGTAAGGTTTTTTATGGAGTCAGAATACTATTTTTGCATGAATGACAGGCAAAGGGCAGAAGCACTACGCGCTGAAGGAGTGTTAGAACAAAAGTAAATGGGTATAAACTTTCTGTAAATAAGATTTAGATTAGAAACAAAGTTCCTAATTACTAGAACTAAATTTGGAACAGCCTTCCAGGCAGAGACCTGCTTTGAAGGAAGAGCCAAGTATATTTATGAAAGAAATTAAATACAAAGTGGTGTCTGAATAGCAGGCAACTAGCCTTGATAAACCAGAGGTCTGTTCTAGTCCCTTCCTAGAGTTTGCTCTTCTGTTGGGCTTCCCATCTTGACACATTGCCAGTTTTGTTTTTAAGGCTCAAAGATTAAAGTGTAAATGAAAGGAATACTAAACTATGACATAACAACAAAGGTTGACTGCTCAATTTTGGGTGGTGTTGGTCTCTGATTTATGGGAGTGAGGCATAAAAATTATGAAGTGATGGAAGGTGGAAGCTAGGAAGACTTGTGATCCAAAGAAATGTGCTCAGTTTCTAATGCAAGGGCAATTCCCTGGTAAACAACCTACTATGGGGTGTAATGGGTTGTAGCACTTGATGTCCTCAGTAGGCTGTAATCAAATGTGAATTGCTGGACTTTTTCAATGGGTGAGCAAATGATCTGTGATCTAAACAAGAGATCAGAATAAATGATCTTAAAAACTTTCATGTTCCCTACAGCCAGTCATCATAGGTCTACCTTGGTCTGAATTCATAGCTATGAGTAATATGCTCTTAAATCAGGTATGTGCCAGGTCCAATGTAACAGTTGAGAAGCGAAAATTGTGTGACGCTGTTTGGCTTGTGTACAACACTGTGTTCTGCGTGTTAAGAACTAGCGAGTATCCCCGTTTCAGCAAGTCGGTTAAAGAGACTTGGCCCATGAGTTGAGCTCTGGCTGTGATCAGTATGCCAGCTGTGATGTGTAGTGTAGCATTGGCTTACCACATATGCATGTGTGTGTTTTTTTTTTTTTTTTTTAAAACAAAGCACACGCATTCCCCCATTCACTGTGAGTCTTGCTTTTGCTTGAATGCAAGTATCCAGATCAAAGGAAAAACAAGCTTAGAACTAGGCAGAGTGAAGCAGAGATGAAGGTTTTTAAATACAGGATGCTGCTTTCTTATTTAAAACAGAAGTATTTTGTCTAAGTCTGCTGGATTCTAGGTAGGTATGTGGATTCAGGACACGCATTTCTTGTTCCTTATTTTTCCAGCGCGGGTAATATTTTTAGGAATCAGTTGTAAAAGTGCTGGAATAGGCATGTCAAAAGGCACAACCTGCCACAGCCGCCTTGGTAAACAGCGTGCTAACACACGCACTGAAATGCTGGGATACTTGCTGGCTGCCTTCCCCAGACACTACCTGCAGCAGCTGCTGCCTGTGAACTGTGCCTTGCTGGGTGGCCATTGGGACCTTCACCATCATCTGCATCTGTGGGTGGCCCAAGGCAGCCACCCTGCGCTGCTGCCTCAGCATGTGTCTCTGCAGAAGGGGCTGCAAGGGAAGTCTGAGGAGTAACAGCCATCCCCACTGTTGAGGTGCTAGCTCGAGTGGGGCACGGGCCCCAGCCCCCTCAGCGACACCTCCAGCCCCAGAGCAGGTAACTTGGGGACCCCTTGCAGCGCTGACAGAGACCGGCACCCGTGGCGAGCAGCACGCAGAGGTCGGGTGGTTGCACGTGGAGTCGGTGTGTGGGAAGGAGGGGCAGGGGGGCGGTGAAGAAGTGCTGGTACAAGACTAAAATGAGACTACCGAACTGCAAAAAGGAAAGGATGCCTCTAATCTGGTTTAGAAGTTGCCTGTGTTGTAATGATAACTTCACGTTTCTGCTATAAAGTTGTAACTTTAATGTAATTCCACCAAAGGATACTCCATCAACAATGCTTTGTTATCCAAGCCTAATCCTTCTAAAATTTCCATTATATCAGTGTACCTGAGAGCAAAAAACCTCTCATAAGCATATTGAAAATATAATGCTGAGGAGACTATTTCAGGTTGAGATTAAAAAATTAATTCAGCAACAGGATATGTGATTGGGCTAGCAGCTGTAGTATCACACAGCATCCTCGAGGCCGGTGGTCTCCAAACTTTTTTGGATTGCATGCCCCTGTCAGTAAAAACTTTTAAGTGTGCACCCAATATATGTATATTTATTTATAAATTATATATGTACTACTGTCCTAATATATTATGTACATACACAAGAGTAGAAATTTTAAAAGTATAAGATAAAGATGAAATAAACACTATTTTTAAATTATTTAAAATTTTGTTTATTGATGGTACAAAACATACTTTCTTTTTGCACCCAAATGGATTGTCTTGCACACCC